ACTTTATGTGAAAGCAAGAATATCAGTGGAGATAGAAACTATAGAATTACATAGAAAGAGCACCTAGCTAGAAACCACTGTGAGGAAACTCAAAAACAGTTTCCACTGAAGTTTCTTGACAACTTCTTCTCAAAATCTGGGGGGGGGGGGCATTCACTGCTGGAAATGCACAAACGCCTAGGTAAGACTACCATTGGTGGGGGGGGGGAGAATCTTTGACATTATTTCCAAAATGCATGTGAACCTGCAACAAAATGCTGCAGTGTGCAGTGCTCCTTTTCAGTCTTTCAGATACTCAGTCCATTTCCTTTCCTATACAGATTTTCCAGCATGTCATGTGCTAACCACCTGATAGGGTAATCTGAGAAATTTACCATCTTAGGACTTTTCATCTCCCAATAATTTTGTGCTTCTGCTAAATCTTAGAATTACTTCAAGCATGTGGATAGTTCCCTCTTATGCATGACAGTAACAGTTATCACTCCATAAGCAATAGTTCATAGGGAGCCATGCCCTATGAGGATCAGGTTAGGGAACTGAGTATGTTTAGCCTGGAGAAGAGAAGGTTATGAGGTGATGTTTAAATATTTGAATGGATGTCATATTGAGGATGGAGCAAGCTTGTTTTCTGCAGCTCCAGAGACCAGGACCCAGAGCAATGGATGCAAACTACAGGAAAAGAGGGTCCATCTCAATATTAAAAACAATTTCCTAACAGTAAGAGCTATTCAGCAGTGGAACACACAATAATAATAATAATAATAATAATAATAATAATAATAATAATAATAATTTATTTGTAACCCGCCTTTTACCGTAGCAATCAAGGCGGCCTACAGCTAAAACAGATACAAACCCAACAATGAACATAATACCCCCCATTAAAAATATATTAAATATAAATCTCAATTAAAACAATTTAAAACAATAGACAATTAAAACAGTAGGGACTCTGGGGCAAGCAAAATAAAGAAAAGGAGGATGTCTAATGAGGAGAGACTTACTTGAAAGTGATTTTATTCTGGATAAGCCTGCCAAAAGAGATCTGTCTTGATGGCTTTTTTAAAGCCATCTCAGTTGGTTATCTGACAGATCTCTTCCGGCAAGGCATTCCAGAGTCTGGGAGCAGTAGTGGAAAATGTCCTCTGGGAGGTTGCCGTCAATATAGTTCAGGGGTAGGCAACCTTTTTGAGCCGGGGGCCGGGTTGCTGTCCCTTAGACAATTGGGGGCCAAAGCACCATAAATAAATAAATAAATAAATAAATAAATAAATAAATATTTTTTTTTAAATTTAAAAGTTTAAAAATTTAAAATATATATGCATGCACACTCTCTCAGCCCCAGAAAGCCATGGCAAAACCCCTGTGGAGATTTTGCCAAGAAAACCCCAAGAACAAGTAATAACAACAATAATCAATATCATCATAGTGGGTGGTGGCGGGGGTGGCAGGACCGGCCTGGGGCCAGTCCAAAGGCCTCGGGGGGGTGCATCTGGCCCCCGGGCCTTAGGTTGCCTACCCCTGATCTAGTTCTTATCAGTTGAAGAATCTTCCTCCCAGAGGACCTGAGGGTGCGGGGCGGATTATATGGAAGAAGGCGATTCTCAAGGTAAGTTGGACCCAGGCCATGTAAGGCTTTAAAGGTCATCACCAACACCTTATTCTGTGCTCGGGAAACCAATAGGCAGCCAGTGGAAAGATCTTAAAATCGGTGTAATATGATCACTCCTGGATTTTCTGGTGATCAGCCCAGCTGCCATGTTTTGTACTAATTGAAGTTTCTGAGTTAGGTATAAGGGTAGCCCCATGTAGAGTGCATTGCAGAAGTTGAGTCATGAGGTTACCAGTGCGTGTACTACAGTTTCTAGGTCCCTTACTTCCAGGAAAGGGCGTAGCTGGCATATCAACCGGAGCTGATAACAGGTGCTCCTGTCTGTCACATTCACCTGATCTGTCATATGAAGCGACAAGTCTAGGAGCACCCCCAGACTGCGAACACAGTCCTTAACAGAGAGTGTGACCCTCGTCCAGGACTGGAGGTCGCAACCCAATACCTGGTTTGGGGCCCCTACTGTAAGTACCTCCATTTTGTCCAGATTCAGCTTGAATCGGTTATTCCTCATCCAATCCATTACCGCTTCGAGACATTGATTGAGGGGAGAACTGCCATCTGCCATCATGGCTGCTGACCAAGACATGGAGCAGAATATTTAAGTGTCATCAACATATTGATAACACCCTGCTCCATGTCTCCTGATGATCATTCCCAGCGGCTTCATATAAATATTGAACAACATTGGGGACAAGATGGTGCCTTGAGGAATGCTGCATTTTAGCTCCAGTTTTGAGGAGGAACTGTCCCCGAGTGACACCCCCTAGAACCTGCCCAAGAGGAAAGAGCGGAACCACTGAAGAGCAGTGCCTTCTACTCCCAACTCTCTCAGGCACTCCAAGAGGATGCTGCGGTCTATTGTATCAAATGCCGCTGAGAGGTCCAAAAGCACCAACTGGGTCACGCTACCCCTGTCGGTGCTAAGGCAAAGGTCATCTACCAGAGCGACCATGGCTGTCTCCACCCCATATCCAGGTCTGAAGCCAATTTGAAATGGATCTAGAAAATTGGCTTCATCCAAGATTGCTTGGAGTTAAAAGCAAAGCAAAGCAGCTTCATTTATATACTGCTTCATATTGCGCTATGGGATGTCTAAGCGGTTTACAACTGAAAACTCATTGCCCCCCCCCCATTTTAGCGACCTCGGAAGGATGCAGGCCTGAGTCTAGCCTGAGCCCTGGCTAGTATTTAACTCTCAACCTTGTGGTCTATGAGTGAGTGGCTGCAGTACAGGCATTTAACCACTGTGCAACAGCTCACTCAATCACCTTGCTTAAGAATGGTAAATGCGAGACTAGTCTATAATTTTTCAGATCCGGGGGTCCAGGGAAGGTTTCTTCAGGAGTGGTCTAACTACCGTCACTTTTAGATTTGGTGCAACAATTCCTTCCCTAAGGAATGCATTGATGACCCTCTTAAGAAAGGCCAACAAGGCATCACCCATCCACCCCCCGGATGATCAGCCAAGATGGGCAGGGATTGAGGGAGCACGTCATCTTCCTCACTTTTCCAAGGATCTTGTCCATGTCATCAGTACTCACCAACTCAAACCGATCCAGTTTAATCTCACAAATGGGTTTACTGGACACCTCATCAGTCACTTCTGTTATAATCCCGGTATCTAAGTTGGCTCTTATCTGAGAGATTTTATCTGCGAAATAGTTGTTGAAAGTGTCATAGCAAGTTGTTGTTGGGTTAAGTAAAGGATTCTGCACAGGTGGAGCCAGTGTCAGTTCCCCTACCACCCTAAACAGTTCCGCTGGACGAGATTCCGCAGACGCAATACATGCAGAAAAGAATGAATTCTTCGCTGCATGTATTGCCTCCCAATAGGAACGAAGAAAGTTCTTATGATGAGTCTTATCAGATAAGAGTCAAGTTTTCCGCCAGGTACACTCTAGTCATTGTCCAACCCGCTTCATTTTCCTAAGTTCCTCTGTGAACCAGACATGACGGTTTGGAGCGGGTTGGAAAGGACACGTGGGAGCGATCGTATCAATTGCTCTGGTAAGATCGGTATTCCAGGTATTCACAGAGCTTCAACAGAGTCGTCATCTTTACTAACCAAGACACCCTCCAAGGCTTTCTGGAATCCAATTGGCTCCATTAGCTTCTGAGGGCAGACCATTTTAATAGGCCCTCCACCCCGGTGGGATGGACACCCCGGTTCTTAGTCCAACCTTGACCAGGAAATGATCTGTCCATGACAGTGCAGAGGTGTTTATTACCTCCACCCACAGATATGCCTGTTCCGTACTAAAGACCGCATCAAGAGTATGACCTGCTGAGTGCATAGGCCTGAAAACCAATTGGGATAGGCCCATGTCTGTCATGTCATGTCTAAACCTTAGAGTGTTGTTGAGTCTCCTTCTTTGGAAGTTTTTAAACAGGGGCTGGATGGTCATCTGTCACAGGGGGTGCTTTGATATGTTTCTAAGACAGGCCACTAATACTTTGGAAATCTAAATCTGACCACTGGGAAGTCTAAGTCTGGGATTCTAAGTCTGAACACCTTCTCTACCACTACCCTGCATTCCTATTCAAGCCATTCCCTTTGCTTCTTCTCTCTTCCATATGATTTTCTGTTTTCTCTCAACAACGTTCTGTGGCCACTGAGTCTACGCACATCTTCATTTTGTTATTGGGGTCCCCACACCCACCCATGCCAGTTTGTTGTTTTTTTTCCCCCTTCATTAGACTGAGAGGGTCAATGCCTCACTCAGATGTGTGGGTGTTGCTATTGTTACTACCTAAGCACTCAGGAGAACTGAATGGCTATTAGACTATATATTCATAATTCTCTAAACAACCTCTCTTCCTTGCATCTTTTTATTATCCATGTCTCTAACTTCTCTCCCCCTCATTCTCATGGTCTCATCCTGGGGTGCCTCCACCTCTGCCCAAAACAACATTTATCTTTCACAAAAGGTTCTGAGGCTAAATGTTTAAGTTAATTCACCACATTAACATTCAGAGCTATTACAGATGCTGAAACAGAAAACATTCCATTTGTTTGATTTTATGGCTTCAAAACTAATTAAAATTGCTATCCAGCATCATTTTAATTAATTTTATCATACCTGGCAACATTACTTTAGTAGCAGGAGGGGGTCACAATGCACCTTTACTCCAAACTGAGCCAACAAATCTCTCAAACAAAACAAACCAGCTTTAATAATTTAAATTTCATTACTGACATCTTGGTCTAAATGTCAATGATACTTACTTTGAAACAAGTATGTTTAGAATCTTAATGGTAGTAAAGCTGAACTGGATTCCTTTGAATAATTAGATTTGGGTCAAAGGAATTGTGTAATGACTGATTGGCTAATTCCCTTTTAGGACCCACTTCCATTTGTGAAAAGCAATGAATGAATAAAGAGGAAGAGCCAGTGTAGTGCAGTGGTTTGAGTATTATATTATGACTCTGGAAACCAGGGTTCAAATCCCTGTTCAGCCATGGGAACCCACTGGGTGACCTTGGGAAGTCATATTCTCCCAGCCTCAGAAAAAGGAAGAGGCTGGGCAAATCTTAATAAAAATAATAATAATTAAAAAAAATTATTTATATCCCACCTCTCTGTGCAACACAACTGGGGCGGCTTACATGATAAAATACACAATCCCGTACCCTAATAACCTACCCCCCTAAAATACAATTAAACAGTATACAGATTAAAACATACCTTAAAATAATAACAAATCAACAATGGCTGTCGCAGAAATCAGGGAATAACAGGTTCAACTTATTTAGTGGCCGGTTATCTATTCAGGAAAGGCCTGCTGGAAGAGATCTGTCTCAACAGCTTTTTTTAAAAGCTGTTTAAGGTGGTAATGTGATGGACCTCACCCAATGGACCATTCCATAATCTGGGAGCAGTTGCAGAAAAGGTCCTCTGGGCAGTTGCAGACAATCTAGTTGTTATAGGTTGCAACAAATTCCTTGCCAAGAAAACCCTGTGATAGGTTTGCTTTAGAGTCACCATAAGTTGGAAACTATTTGGAAGTGCACCCAACAACAACAATATCAACTACAACAAATAAAGAGGACTGGGTCTAGATTTCCTGTGAGCTGCACTTTGTTCAACAGTATACTTCCATAATGACTTAATAATTCACAAAGACAAATAAACCTATCAATTCCAAATTCTCTCAGGGTGAAACAAGAGACTAAGGGGAATGCACTATTCCCTCTGATTAAGTTGGTTTCTCTCCCATAATGAGACTACATGAGCACACACGCACACACACACGCACCAGGATTTCCCCACATGAAATACATGACTCAGCAGGAAGTATTGCAAATTAAATCCATATTTACTTAATCATAAAAAAGCACAAGAAATACAAGAAATGTACGTGAGGAAAATCACCTGCAAAATAAACGAATGTCTTTCACCACATGGGGAAGCACTTCCTTTTAAAAAATCAAGAAATTTGGTAACTGTATTGTCTAGTTTGATTCATTTTCACATTATTCTGAGCTACACTTCATCTCTTGTAACTCTGCAGGGAGGGGACCTCTCAAGCATTCATAAGCATTTTCATGTGTGTTGTTTCTAACATATGGATTAATATAAATTTGTCTAAAGGGGTTACAGACTGCTTGAAATAGTGCAAATTGAGCCCACTTTTAGGGTTAGGGTTAGTGCAAATTGAGTCCACTTTTAGGGTTAGGGTTAATGCTAGGGAATCATGGGAATTGGTGTTTTTTTTTTCTGAGACATTGAGCCTTCTCTGTCAGAGAGCTCTGGTGCCACAATAAAATACAGTTTCCATGATTCCCTAACCCTAACCCTAACCCTAAAAGTGGACTCAATTTGCACTATTTCTGGCAGTCTGCAACCCCCCCTAATATGTCTAATTTTGCAACCAGTTTTTCCTAACACAATGCTTTTAAAAAATATTTTTCAGCATATGTTTATGTGCACTTACCTTTAATGTGTGCATTTTAAATATGTTTTTAATAATTGCATCACTTATATATGAGAAATGGAAATAATGAAGAACTGCATTCTGGTGCATACTGATTTGGGAAGCATAGATGTGGTGATAGCTTAAAATGGGTACTACACCAAGTTCTCTGCAGACTGTATCAGTTCTTCATTTTCCCTGTAGGCTTCTATGATTTCTAAAGAGTTGCTCTAGAATTGTGTGGGGTTATAGTAGGAAGGGAGGATCTATGAATATCACTTTCTCCCCTCTCAGCCACATATAGCTGCTAATAGATCTTGGTCACATCCTCAAATGGGGGGGGACACCTCAATTCATGGAACAGCAAGTCTGGATCCAACTGATATCATTGGAAGATCCTTTAGTCTTAGGCTACCGTCGGTCCAGTAGTATAAATTAAATATTAACATTTCACTGTAGGTGCTGGCCACCAGCTTATAATCAAGGCTATTTAAAGAATATGAAAGTATTTGAAGCTTTCTTTTTTAAATCTCTCAGAATGCACTATCTAGCCATCTATCTATGGACATTATTACACGGGGGCAAATCTGCTGGTTAATCCACACA